ACGTGGGAGACCCGGAAGAAGCTCCTGGCTTTGGATCGGTACAGGTCTGGGCGTTGACAACATTTAGGGAGTGAACCCGCAGAAGCAAGACCTTTCTCTCTGTCTCTCCCTCTCACTGTCTGTAACACTACTTCTCAAATAAATAAATAAAATCTTTAAAAAATTATTTAAATTATTTTATTTTTAATTATATTGCTTCATTGATTTCTGTGAAAGCCAGAATCTCCTTCCTCGTGGGGGCTTATGACATTGTCTTATTCAATCATTGTTTTGTTAACTTCTTGTATTCTCAGGGGTAGTGAGTATTAGGAAACTGGCTCAGTGATAGCCAGGTGACCACATGGCCCAACCTCTGTGGTCAAGCTCCACCCCATCCTAATGGGATTCACTGCTCCTGTTTCCCTGCCCGCCCTCCGGCTAACTGTTCCTGAACATGTGCTCTCTTGGTTCCTCTCTTTAGCCTCCTCCTCCTTTGGTATCTCGGCTCTCTCTCTCAGTTCCTCTGCTCTCTCCTCTCTCTTGGCTCCTCTCATCTCTTCTCTCCTTGCTAGCTCCTCTCCTCTCTGTTTCTCTTATTCTCTCTTTCCCTTTGCCACCCCTTCACTCCAGTCTGTTGGGTGTTCCCCAATAAACCCTTCCCTTACTCTGTTGTTCGGTGTGTTTTGTGATGGCTAACATTCATATATAACAGTGAGAATTAGTATTGTAGGCAGAGGCTGTGTGACATACTCTTGGATATTACAATTCTATAATTACAAATAATTTATTTGAGAGTTAAGACAGAGGGCCAGCGCCGTGGTGCAGCAGGTTAATGCCCTGGCCTGAAGCGCCAACATCCCATGTGGGTGCCTGTTCTAGTCCAGGATACCCTACTTCCGATCCAGCTCTCTGCTGTGGCCTGGGATAGCAGTAGAAGATGGCCCAAGTCCTTGGGCCCCTGCACCCACATGAGAGACCCGGAGGAAGCTCCTGGCTCCTGGTTTTGGATCAGCCCAGCTCCAGTCATTGCAGCCATTTGGGGAGTGAATCAGCAAATGGAAGACCTCTCTCTCTGCCTCTGCCTTTTTTTTCTCTGCCTCTGCCTCTCTGTAATTCTACCTTTCGTGGGAGACCCGAAAGAACCTCCTGGCTCCTGGCTTCGGATTGGCACAGTTCCAGCTGTTACGGCCAATGGGGAGTGAACCAGTGGATGGAAGACCCCTCTCTTTCTCTCTGCCTCTCCTCTCTCTGTGTAACTCTCAAGAAAAAAAATAAATAACTCTTAAAAAAAATAAAAGAAAGTTAAAGACAGAGAGGTAAGGACAGAGAGAGAGGTCTTCCATCTGCTAGTTCACTCCCCATTTGGCTGCAACAGCAAGATCTGCACCGATGCGAGGCCAGGAGGTAGGAGCTTCCGGGTCTCCCACGTGGGTGCAGGGTCCAAGGACTTGGGCCATCTTCTACTGCTTTCCCAGGCCACGCAGAGAGCTGGATCAGAAGTGGAGCTTCCAAGACTCAAACTGGCGGCCATATAGGATGCTGGCTCCTGGCTTTGTCTTGGCACAGTTGAAGAATTCCCCAATTCCTTCTGTTTTCACATTGCTAAGTAGTGTTCCTGGCCCATTGTATTGTATCCCTCTATACTACATGTATTTCCTTATATATGTGTAGTTATAATATTTTCCCATAATGTTGTACAGCAAGAAATATTCCATGTGTTGGATCTAGATCCTCCTTTAACAACAACAACAAAAATAATATATCCAGAACATCTTTGCCTGTTGACAACAGAAAGTGTTTTTCACTCTTTTAAAGCTACATGGCACCGGCGCCCCAGCTCACTAGGCTAATCCTCCTCCTGCGGTGCCGGCACTCCAGGTTCTAGACCCGGTTGGGGCGCCGGATTCTGTCCTGGTTGCTCCTCTTCCAGTCCAGCTCTCTGCTGTGGCCCGGGAGGGCAGCGGAGAATGGCCCAGGTCCTTGGGCCCTGCACCTGCATGGGAGACCAGGAGGAAGCATCTGGTTCCTGGCTTCAGATTGTCACAGTGCGCTGGTCACAACGCGCTGGCTGTAGCGGCCACTTGGGGGGTGAACCAACTGAAAAAGGAAGAACTTTCTGTCTTGTTCTCTAACTCTGCCTGTCAAAAAAAAAAAAAAAAAAAAAAAAAAAAAAGGCTACATGGCAGAGCCGGCACTGTGGATCACTTGGCCAATCCTCTGCCTCGGGGCTCTGGCATCCCATATGGGCACCAGGTTCTAGTCCCAGTTGCTCCTCTTCCAGTCCAGCTCTCTGCTGTGGCCTGGGAGTGCAGTGGAGGATGGCCCAAGTGCTTGGGCGCCTGCACCTGCGTGGGAGACCAGGAGGAAGCAACTGGCTCTTGGCACAGTGCCGGCCGTAGCGGACATTTGGGGAGTGAACCAATATAAGGTAGACCTTTCCCTCTGTCTCTCACTGTCAAATAAATAAATTTAAAAAAATTAAAAAGATTAAAAAAATCTACATGCCATTATGGATCCAAGTACTATTATTAATGTACTATAATGATGAACATTTTGATATTTTCCAAAAGCTATGAAGACATGTCTTAGTTAACAGGTGAAAAAAAGCATAAATTCCCAAAATTGATATTGCAGTTTCAAAGGGTAAATTATAAACCTGACAAAGGGGAAGATTCCATTGTAATTCTGACAAACATTGTCAAATTAACCTTAATAGGGGCTGCTCCATTTGTACTCACACCAGCATTGTGTAGAGTGTGTATCTCCACAGCTTTATCTTTGTTTTCTAATTGCTTTTGTAGGACAAATGCTTAGGCCCCTGGCACAGCCCTGGCTCTTGTGGCCATTTGGGGAGTTAAGCAGCAGATGGAAGATCTCTCTCCTCCATAACATTGCCTAACAAATAAAGGAAATAAGGGGCTGGCACTGTGGGATAGTGGGTAAAGCCGCCGGCTGCTCCACTTCCGATCCAGTTCTCTACTAACGTGCCTGGGCAAGCAGTGGAGTTTGGCCCAAGTGCTTGGGCCTCTGCATCCGTATGGGAGACCCAGAAGAAGCAGCTAGCTCCTGGATTTGGATCAGCTCAGCTCTGGCCAAGGCAGCCAACTGGGGAGTGAATCAGTGGATAGAAGACCTCTGTCTGTTTGTCTCACTCTCTCTGCCTCTCTGTAATTCTGCCTTTCATATAAATAAGCAAATCTTTTAAAAAAAGACATAAAAATAAAGAGTGGCAGCCAAAGAGAGAGAAAGAAATTGAGCCTTCTCTTCCATCTGCTAGTTTGCTCTCCAAGTGCCCACACAGCCAGGGCTGAGCCAAGTGGTGGCCAGGAGCCAGGAACTCCTTCTAGGACTCTTACGTGGCTGGCAGGGTCCCAAGTATTTGGGCCATAATCTGATGCCCTCTCAGGTACATTTGGAGGAAGCTGAATTGGAAACAAAATTGCCAGTCCTATTTTGGATGCAGGTATCTTACAGGGCCATAAAACGTGCCCCTCCTAAATGTTCTTTATTTTTTAAAATTAATTAATAATTAATGAATTATTTAATTAATTTAAAAAGCAGAGTTATATAGAGGGAGAGACAGATTTTCCATCAGCTGATTCTCTCCCTGAAATGGCCAGGAGACTAGAACTCCATCCAGGCCTCCCGCATAGGTGGCTGGGCACCAAGGTCATGGGCCAATTTCTGCTGCTTTCCCAGGCATGTTTGCAGGGAGCTGTATCAGAAGTGAAGCAGTTGGGAATCCAGCTAGTGGTCATAGGATGCCTGTGGCACAGTTTGGGGCTTCACCAGCCACACTACAGCGCTGGCCTCTCCCCAGTGTTTTCTGATAGATCATGTAAAACAAACCGAATGGCATAGACACCTCAGTGTTCTTGGATAGGCATGCTGTAAAATGAAAGCCTCAAGTAAAGAACTGGGGCCCCTCCCCCTTGCCTTACTTCTGTTTTCCAGCAGTAACTACTGTTAATATTGTGGACTTTTCCTACCAGCTTTCCTAAAGTGCTAGACAAATGTGTGCTTTAAAGGAAAACCGGCGCTAAATCTCATCAAGAGTTTGTTTCCTTGCATTATTCCCTGCACTGTGCATGGATTCTAGATATCTTGCCATGCAATGACGATTGACATTTAGCATCATGGCTGCGCAGGATTTCACCGTGAGAGTGTCAGTTTATTTCTCACTTTCCACGTTAGACGTGAAGTGCTGCATTAACGAGTACATTTCTGCTTTATAATGTTTATCATTTAGTTGGTGGGAAAGCTGCATTTTTCCTTCTGGAAGTTTTTAGTTGCATGGCATGTAACACTCTTTTCCTATCTTTAACCTTACTCTTCTATTGAGTCTGACTCCTTTATCTAACAAATCCAAATATACACATACGGCAACCTAGTGCTTCCTTTCTTGCTATTCATTGCATGCGTGTACACCAGAAGATAACACTGTGTTATTGGCAGTGTGATTAAAATAGCGGAATACTAAATAACTCCAATGTCCATCTCCAGGAAGATACACTCTCTTGGATATCTCTGTGTTGAGTAAATAGACATCAGTTTTGTAACATTTAAAAAGCCAAAGGTTACCTCTTGGGATGACTGGAGAGAGAATTTTATGCTTGTGATTTTGGTACATAAATGTTCATTTTTTGAAAATTACACAGCTATATACGTAATCTGTACATTTCTATATATTTTCTACTTCAGTAGAGTTTACACTAAAATGATGGATATTGCCCATTGAATGGTACCAATGTAATAATATTTAATTGTTTTATTTGAAAAAGAATGAATATTCCAAGGTATTCATAGTCATGGCATCATGATCAGTTCTAGTTCTCATCTTTCTTTATGCATATGCACTCTGGTTTGTCATTTTATGACTTCTGGACACGTAAGCCCAAAAATAATATCCTTTTAGCTTTTTTCCAGGGGTTTCGCATTTAGTTACTCTCAATCATGAAGTTTCTATAGTGACTAATCATATATTTGAGCAGGTTGTGAGTAATTTTGTATTTATTTTGCAGGCAGATATTGGCAACAAATTAGTAAATGGCCCCCAGTCAGAATTCATGGAATACAGTAGTTGTGGTCATGGGGAAGAAAAAAGATTGGAATTGAATTCAAATCCCCTTGAAAATGTAACTAAAAATGAAGAAAGCATGACAGGTATCGAGGTGGAGAGCTGGACGCAAAGCAAGAAATCACACTTGACAAATCAAGTCAAAGAAGAGCTTGTCGCAAGCGTGTCAGAAGCTGAAAATTCAAAAAAATCCCAAGATGACAAGAAAACTACAAAACCTCCTAAATCTTTTACACAAACAATAAGAAATGGCATTAAAAATGTACCCTACATACCACCTGAAACAAATGTGTCATTTAAAAAATTCAATATTGAAGAATTTGGCAAAGCCTTTGAAAACAGTTCCTATAAATTCCTGAAAGATTCTGTAAACCACAACAATGCCATGAGCTCCATTGCTTCTAGTGCAAGTTGTGATCATCTCAAGGGGAGAAGTAACGTCTTCCAGAAGCCAGGCCTGAACTGCAAATCTGCTTCCGATTCTGCAAACTTCAACTTAACTAGTCATACCAGTATACACAATGAAGGTGATCAACCAAAAACTCCTGAGAACATGCCAAGTCAAGAAACAAAAGATGGCTCTCCAGTCCAACGAAGCCTTTTATCTCTAATGAAGGATAGGAGACTAACACTGGAACAAGTGGTAGCCATTGAGGCTCTGACTCAGCTCTCAGAAGCCCCATCAGAGAATTCTTCACCATCAAAGTCAGAGCAGGATGAAGAAACAGAGCATAGAACAGCTAGTTTGCTAAACAGCTGTAAGGCTATCCTCTACTCTGTAAGAAATGATATACAAGACCCAAATTTAGAAGGAGAGCCTCAAAGCCTTCCTCATTGTCCATCTTTGGAACAGCAAAGCTCAGGCAACCCGGTGGTATTCAATGGCCAAAATGCCCTTTCCAAATCACACATCAGCTCCGTTACTGACCAAGCTACCGCAAAGTTACATGAACATTCAAAAGTTGCAAACTCAGTGTCTCTTTTTATCCCCAAATCAAATCCATCTAAAATTGACACCAATAAAAATGTTGCTGAAGGTAAAATTACTCTTGCTGATTGTTCCAAAAATTTGCCTCAGTTGCCAACAAGAAATAATAACGTGGGCTATTATAACCAGTTATTGGAAAGCAGCAAAAATCTTAGTTCAAAGGAGGATCCATCCTGTCAGGATGTATCATATAGTCAAATTGAGGAAGACGTTGCAACACAATTAACCCAGCTTGCATCAATAATTAAATGTAATTATATAAAACCAGAGGACAAAAAAGTTGAAAATGCTGCAACAAGCCTTGTTGCATATAATGTCCAGCAGAAGTGTGTTCAGGAGAAGAGCATAACACAACTGAAGCCACCTTCAAGTGTACAAAGTAGTCATGGCTCATCATTAGCAAAGCAAAAGAACCCAACCCAGAAAAAGACAAAATCCACCCCATCAAGAGATCGAAGGAAAAAGAAGCCCATAGTCGCAAGCAGTGAGGAAAATGATAAGAAGAAGCAGGAACAGTTGGCATATGAGTATCGTAAGTTACATGACATTTGGATAGCGTCCAAGTTTCAAAGATTTGGTCAATTTGTTCCTCATGATTTTCCTGCTCTGTTGGGGAAAATTCCTCCTTTAACCAAAATGTGGAAACCACTGACTCAAGCCAGTTCAATCCAACACAAGAAAGTATTTCCACCACTCAGTCAGATAAAATTTGAGAGATACCCTGAGTTAACCCAGGAAAAAATGATGAAGGTTGAACCATCAGATTCCCTCCCAGTATTTCCTGTCAAAATGGAATCCAACGGGCAGGCATTGCCAGACAGAGCTTCCAATTCTCAGGTGCAGTCAGCAGTGAATGTCAATCAGAAAACTCATCCTTTGCCCCAGCCCTCTGAGCGGTGTGCTAATGTAATGACTGGGGATGACCAAACACACATCCACCAGGATGTCGAAGCGCAACTCCCCCATCAGAGACTGCCGGCGTTGCCTGGTGCCTCTCAGGAGACACCCTCACCAGACCCAGCAGACCTTCTCAGGAATGTCAATGTAGTGAGTTCAGGTGGAATTACGGTGGTTTCTCCCAAGAACGAAGAGGAAGTATGTTCAGCCAGTGTTGGACCATCCCAGTCTTCCCCTGGAGAAAGTGCCCAGAAGAGCTTCAATGATTACGCCATGAACTACTTCACGGAATCTACAAAAAGGCTGGTGGCTACAACGAAAGATACAGAAGTGCCATCCTGCAACTGTCTTGGTAAGTACTTGTGTAGATGTCTTCTTTTCACCTGCATAAATTGTTTCGAGTCATCACAGAACCAAGTTCTGATTCATCTTTTCTTGTGTGATATTTTTGCCCCATTCCTGTTCTAGCTGAGGTGGACTAAGTAATTTATACCCATTTTTCTGTTGGACCTTTATTGATTCTGCTCAGAAAAATGGAAAATTCAGCTCATAATTTGGACAAACAAAGGTAAACTTTCTCAAGTGGAAAATATGCTCATTTCTCTCAAGGCAAAATGCTCTCAAATTGTATATTGTACATATAGCATAAGAATGAATTCCCTTATAATTTGAGTTTGTATTTTCTTCCCATATTCAAAAAAGAGTTTCAACCCACAAGCCTTTCAACTGTATTTTTATTTTTTATTGTGAGATAGCACTTGAAACAGATGTAAACTTAACAAATAAATACAAGAGGTTTCTACGTGCTTCACAGCTTGGATAAGAACTGGCACTACAACAAGTAGTTTTGTGCTAATAGCTGCGTCCCATACTGATTTCTAATGAATGTATTTATGCAGTTCATGCTTTTGGAATCACTGAAAGAACATTTAAAAGCTTATAATTTTATCAGTTTGTTCAAAGCTCTGAGGACTTTTTGACTGGAGTGAAGATTGTCAGAAGTTTGCTCGATATTTTTAAACTAAATTTGAATCCTAGTGTTTAGTTTTTATCTATGGTCAGTACACAGATATGAGAAAGAAAATCTGATGTTTGTGTTAAAGTACAAGAAACTAAAATAGACGGTATCATGGAAGTTTGGTAGGCTGCCTGAAGTCTATACATACAGCCATTCTGTGATTGTGATAAGACAATTTGTAAAATAAGCTGGTTTTGAACCCATTGAATTAGGTTTAGTTATTGAAAGTCTCATTTAAACTAGGATCCCGAAACACGAAGACTAGGAAGAAGTGGTACAGTAGTACTTACTAAGCAGGATTTTTTGGAAGGATTAGTATTTCATCTTCATTTTTTCTATTCAACCACCATGGAAAAAATTGCAAAGCGATGACTTTTAGTTCTTAGTTATTTAAAGTGCATTTAATTGTCTGATATAAATAATATCCTTCAATTTCATTCAACACCCAGCCTAGACAAACACCTTGCTTAGTGGCAAGGATGTGCTCTTCTGAGAAGGATCTCTCCATGTGGATAGGGTGACAGTGCTCTGTGAGTGGAGTTGAATTGAGACGGTGAGAGGTTCTTAGCCCAAGGAGAGAAGAGTGTAATAATGACAGTGGCTCCTATTCTCACTCTATGTCTGGGACTGGGCCTGCCCTTGGCTGGCCACAAAACACAACAAATCTGCAAAGGGTGGCCATTTTATGAATGACCAATCTGAGGTGCAGAGAAGTGCATGTAAGTGACTAAACATAATCTCAATTCCAGAGCTTATACTTCTCTTGCTTTAAAAATCTGAGTTATAATATTTGGAACTCTTTTCTGAGTATCATTACAAAAGGGGGGAAAAAGACTTCTGCTTCAAAAATGAGTGCCATTGAAGTTTATATCCTTGAGCTAGAGTTTCTGCTATGTGCATGATTCTAATCGTGTAGTTTTAAGATTGTTTATACAAAGTCTAAGTATGTAGGAAGCAAAAATAGCCAGAATACTTTCAGTGTATCTGTGACTGTTTAAGCACTCAAATTCATGGCTTCTACCATGTGTAGAGAAGTTATCATAAAAACATAAATAAAAAAAGCAAACAGCACCCAGAAATCATCCCAAGTAGGGCCAGCATTCCTGAGAATGCTCAGCTTAGCACTGTTGTCGTTGTAGACCTACTTGTTCTTTGTTGTGGGGGCGGGGGGTTGTCCTTTGTGTATCTGGGTATTTAGCAGTGTCACTTGCCTCTACCCACTAAATGCCAACAGGAATAGTATACATATACCTGCTCAGTAATGCCAACCAAAACCATCTTCATTTATTGCTAAAGCTTTCCCCTGGCTGAGAACCACTAGTTTAGAGCACCAAATATAAGTTTACCTCTACTGAGTGTATCTTGCTTAAAGATGCTGCAGTAGTAATTTTTCCTTGTATTTGACATCCATTCAAAATGAAGACTGGTGTAGCTATACTGAGTTCCCTAGATCATTATACTCACACATTTTAAGAAGTCAAGTTAAAAATACTGTTTTCTAAGAAATATATAATTCTTTTTCAAAGTGATTCAAATGGTCCAGAAATAGGATGCAAACATCTTTTCATAGTCTCATTCCCTATATGAATTAACATTGTCTCTGATTTTAATTTTGTTCCATTTTTCTCAGAATGCACTTTTTAACTTAATGAAATCATACCTTTTTTTTAAATGTTTGTAAATATCATTGTCTTAATTGACTTATTCTGCTATATAAACATCCCATATTTCATTTAACGTATGACTTACTGACAGATGTTAAAGATGTTACTTTCTGTTTTTCTCTTTTCTTTTGGTAATTATAATAAGAAATATTCTTACAGCGCATAATCCATAAACAATTGTGGAGGTATACAATAGGATAAATTCTTTGCAGTTAAATTACTAGACTCAATTTGAATAGGATTCTGAGGCCAAGATTGGAAGATTTATTGCTCTTGAAGAACTTTTAATTTTACACTTATTAAATAATTTTTTTTTCACATAGGAGATGAGAGAATATATAAAGCTAAGATCTTAAACTAATTTTTTTCTCTGATTCTTTGAGGAAGAAAGGAACATTAACAAGACCAATTCCAGGGCCTAAGTCCTTGACTTTAATTATCAAAGCATACCAAGACCTTGTCGAGATTCCTGGTTCTGAAGTGAAAGGGGAAAAAAGAAAAAGCAAGACTAGCTTCTCCTTGCCCCTCTGAAATGCTGTAAAGCTTTGGGTCTAATAATCTTATTCCTTCCACAGATCGAGGTACACAAAAAGACAAAGGCCCATATTATACACACCTTGGGGCAGGACCCAGTGTTGCTGCTGTCAGGGAAATCATGGAGAATAGGTGAGGAAATATGCTTCCCTGTTAAAATCATTCTGTATTGTGGACCTGACTCAATGCAAAGACATTATCTCTGAGAACCTGCAGGACGTGCACGGAGAAACGTTGAGGAGTATGAGTGTCCAGGCGTCTCTCCTGAGTCACTCATCACATGAGTTGTCACTCTGCGAGGGACTCAGCAAGCAAAGCTAATGGTCTTTGATCAATTCAGGAATATTTATTTTTCTCTTGCTGTATACTGGGAGAAATAGTTCCAATGACCGCCTTCCACACTGAATAGCCCTAATTCCCTTTGCTTGTTTTAGAGCCAGCCCATGATTAGAGCAAGCTTTAAGGGTAAAGAAGCAGAGCTAGCCGACAAATAAAAATATCTGCCACACAAAAGCAAATTTCTAACAAAAGTAATTCATGAGGCGTGTTTGATGTTTGAACTTTTGTACACCTATGTCATATGCAAATTTAGAGATTAGAAACTGGCAACTTCAAGAATAGATTGCAATTAATTAGTACATTCCCTCCACTGTGTTTTTTACTCAGGTATGGACAAAAAGGAAAGGCAGTAAGGATAGAAGAAGTAGTGTACACGGGAAAAGAAGGGAAAAGCTCTCGTGGCTGTCCAGTTGCTAAATGGGTAAGTGTTTTGTATTTACGTATTTTCTCAAAATGCATATATGCCATATGTAAAAACTTTTTTTTTCCTCCAAGGAAAATGTAGATTAGAAAAACAGCCACTCCCACAAGAAGATGCTTTCTGCCTTAACCTGGGTTCTGGATTATACCTTTAGAATGTTTATGTATTTATGTAAATGATGAAAGGGTGTTCTTCTTCTCTGGTCACCATTTTCACCAGACGTGTGAATATTTAATGTCTTTATCATTCGGTAGCTTTTACAAATGTTACTGAATTAATGCCTTTTATCAGTTTATATTGAAGGAAAAACCGGGTCTACAACTTTTATAAAACCTTTCGTATCACTAATTTGATATTTTTCAAAAATCCATGATTACTAACAAGTCAGAACTGATTCAGCTTCTTTAGGAAGTTCGTTGCCCATTATATCATTTCAAAAGGATACTTATGTCTGCAAAGATACACAGACACAGTGATGTACAATTTTTTTAAAGACGTATTCATTTGAAAAACATCCGCTGGTTCACTCCCCAGACGGCCACAATAGTCAGGGCTGGACCAGAGCGAGGACTGCAGCCTGGAGCTCCATCTGGTCTCCCGCATGCCAGACAAGGTCCAAGCACTTGGGCCTTCTTCTGCTGCTTTTCCCAGGTGCATTAGCAAGGGGCTGGATCTGAAGTAGAGCAGCCAGGACTCAAACTGGCACTCATAGGATCCTGGCGTCCAGGCCAGTGGTGTAACCAGCTGCACCACAATACTAGCCCTTATTTACAGTTCTCCAACATAGAATCTTTTGAGATTCCTCCTGTTGTTGCTGTAGTGTGTAAAGCCGCTGCCTGTGATGCCAGCATCCCATATGGGTACTGGTTCATCACCTGGCTGCTCCTTTCTAAAGCACCTGGGAAAGGAGTGGAGGATGGCACAAGCGCTTAGGACCCTGCACTCATAGGGGAGACTTAGAAGAAGCGCTTGACTCCTGGTTTGGCCTGGACTAGCCCTGGATGTTGAGGCAAACTGGGGAGTGAACCAGCAGATAGAAGATGTCTCTCTCTGTCTCTAACTCTGCCTTTCAAATATATAAGACTAATTTTTATTTATTTGAATTACAGAGTTAGAGAGTTAGAAAAACAGCCACTCCCACATGCTTTCTGCCTTTACCTGGGTTCTGGATTTGATTGGTTATCTTACACCTTTAGAATGTTTATGTATTTATGTAAATGAGGAAAGCATCTTCTTCCTCGCTGTTTGGTCACCATTTTCACCAATCATGGGATGCCAGTGTCTCATGCAGTGGCTTAACCCACTAACCCACAGTACAGGCCGCAGCCCTGGGAGCTCCAGCACTGGACATTGGACATTAATTGCTTTCTTGACTCCATGTATTTTGAGTGCAGTTCCCTCTAAAGTGTAAATGATCTGTGAGATCTTAGAAGGCCAAATCCAGGTGCCAGGAACTTCCTCTGGGCCTCCCACACAGATGCTTTCCCAGGCCATAGCAGAGAGCTATGGAGCAGTGGTTCTCGACCCGGCACCCATATGGGATGCTGGCACTGCAGGCGGTGGCTTTACCACAGCACCGGTACCTGAAGGCCTTAGTTTTCTTAAATACAACAACATGCACAAATCTTCAGTGTACATATCAATGAATTTTTCACATGCAGAACTTTTCAATGTTGCCACCCGCTACAAAATGATTTAAAGTACTCCAGCATACTAGAAGCCTTGTGGCCCTTGCCATTCCATGACTCCCGACATGTAAACCTTATTTTGACCACAGATTACTCTCGCCTTTTGCAGAATCTTCCTGCTATAGTACCATAGTCTATTCTCTTGCTTCCATCGTCTCCTTTTACTCAACATTTATGAAACATGAATTTAATGGCTGAAGTCCAAACAGCCATCTGGAGCCGTGAAATGAGTTGACAATGGAAGACATGTATAGTATGGTGTGAAAAAATACAACAGCCTGAATTCATGTTGGTACTAGTAGCAGACTTATTTATAAACTAGAAGTGGGCAAGAGTTTTCTAATTTAGGTACAATACCGCTAAAGATATCTATAAAAAAAGAAGTTGACTACATTTTAAAAAATCTCAGTGGTAAAACTATTATAAACTGAAAAATATATCTGCAGATTTTATCACAAATTGCCAATTTTTTAAAAAAGCTGCTATTGAGTCAAAGAATTATAATCCAATGGAAAACCTAATTGGAGAGCCTATTTTATTTATTTCTTCATGTCCATGCGATTAGATCATAACTCTTGGATTTCCCAGTCCTAGCCCAGGGCCTGAAAACTAATCAGTAAGCACGCTCTTTTGCTTATCTCGATATGCTGGTGGTGATGGTTTTGCACTAAAACTTACTCTTAGTAAATTTACTCTTAGAAATCTTAGTTGAGACTTGTTCCTGATGTATATAATAGGAAAGTATTAAATAATATGCTTTACTCAGTAAAAGATTGATAAATGCAAACTATTCTCAGGTTAAAGAAATCCATACTTAAGAAGGCCTGAATTCTGAAAGATCCCACTTCAGGACTCTTTTCCCTTCTTCCCGCTTGAAATTCTTTTTTGTCAAATAGTTTCCATCTGTGGTTTGTTCAGTTCTCTGCTTGGGAACCTGTCGATATGGAGGGCTGACTGTAATTGTTTAGCATTTTCCATGAAACACATAACAGCAAAATTGCTTTCTTATTTCCTCTTGTGCAATATTTCTTTTCAGATTGAATAGACCATCTCAGCATATAGTAATGCATTTCTGGTTCTTTTCACAAATACAAAAATACTGCAGAGATAAGGAATGAAATAACATACTCCTGCTGAGTAGTTTAATGAAAATTTTTACAACTGTTAACAGCAATTCAATATTACATCTTGATAAAACCAAATATTAGTATTGTATGTCTAAGAAAAAAAGTAGGTTTCATTAGTGATTATGTATATTAGAGAAATCAATGTTCACCATATAGTCAGCACTCAGTAAATTTATTTTGAGTGAAAAAATGGAGCTTAAATAAAACCAAATTAGGGAACTGAATAATTTTGGTATATTAAAATAGTATTATGGTGGTTTTTATTAACTTTTCTAAGACATGGGGATCCTAGAATATTAGAATTAAGTCCATAGAAGTTCAGGTAGAGTTTAAATATTAGAACTAAGGAATTTAATAAGCATTCAACTGATGGAATACGTAGTTTGAAATTTACTTTTTTTTAAGACTTATTTATTTGAAAGAGAGAGGAGAGGAAGAGAGAGAGGTCTACCATCTGATGGTTCACTCCCTATTTGACTACAATGGCTGCAGCTGCGCTGATCCCATGTCAGGAGCCAGGAGCTTCTTCTGGGTCTTCCCATGCTCTTGCAGGGGCCCAAGGGCTTGGACCATCTTCCACTGCTTTCCCAGGCCAGAGCAGAGAGCTGGATCTGAAGTGGAGCAGCTGAATCTTGAACCGGTGCCCGTATGGGATGCTGATGCCGGCCTCCTAAATTTACTTTTAAACTTGCATTCTGTATCTCCATATGCTGACATTTGTTAGTGGTGTAAAATTCTGTTCCATATACTTTTTTTTTTTTTTTTTTAATTGAAAGGCAGAGATACACAGAGAAAAGTAAAGAGAAAGAGATCTTCTATCTGCTGGTTCCTTCCCCAAATGGCCAGGGCTGGGCAAGGCTGAAGCCAGGAGCCAGAAGCTTCTTCCAGGTCTCCCACATCAGTGGCAGAGGCCCAGCTACTTGGGCCATATTCTGTTTTTCCCAAGCATCCTAGCAGGGAGCTGGATAAGTGGAGCAGCTTGAACCCGACCTGCACCCATGTGAGATGCCAGAACTTCAGGCCTCACTTTTTACTACACAGCACATCAGATCACTCCTTGGATGTTACTATTGTGACCTAAAAAAAGCTAGTGCACTTGGCTTCTTCTTTGGTGCCTATGTTTGTGTAATGGAAGATGACTTTTTTAATGTTCCGGTTATCAAATTAATACAAATGGAAAGAAATTGAAATATTTGGTAGGCAGAATTAGACAGAGAGGGAGACACAGACCTACCATCTGCTGATTCACTCTCGCAATGGCTGCAATGGCAAGCTAGAACAAAGCCAGGAGCCAGGAGCCTGGAGCTTCATCTGAGTCTCCCTTGTCAGTGCAGGGACCCGTGCATTTGCACCATCTGCTGCTGTTTTCCCAGCTGAATTAGCAGGGAGCTGGATAGGAAGAGGAACAGCCAGGACTCAAACTGGCACTCATGGGATGCTGGTGCTGCAGGAGACTCAGAACAAACTCCTTGGTCCTGGCTTTGGATTAGCTCAGTTCTGTCTGTTGCGGTCATTTGGTGACTGAACCAGTTCTTGCTCACTCTCTCTCTCTTTCTCTTTTTTTTTTTTTTTTTAAAGATTTTTTATTTGTATATTAGACAGGTAGAGTTAGAGACAGAGAGAGAGAGAGACAGAGAGAAAGGTCTTCCTTCCGTTGGTTCACCCCCAAGTGGCCGCTGCAGCGGGCACACTGCGCCGATCTAAAGCCAGGAGCCAGGTGCTTCCTCCTGGTCTCCCACATGGGTGCAGGCGGCCAAGCACTTGGGCCATCCTCCACTGCCTTCTCAGGCCACAGCAGAAAGCTGGACTGGAAGAGGAGCAACCAGGACTAGAACCCGGAGCCCGTATGGGATTCTGGTGCCGCAGACGGGGAATTAGCCAAGTGAGCCATGGCGCCGGCCCTCTTTCTCTCTATCAGTATCTCTGCCATTAAAATAAATAAATAAATCTGGCAATGTGATATAGCAATTTAAGCTACTAAGTGTAACCAATATGGGCATTGGTACAAATCCTGCCTGCTTGACTTCCAATCTTTCTCCATGCTAATGCGCCCAAGAAAGCAATAGTGCATCGCCAACTACTCAATCCCATGTAGGCAGCAGGAAAACAATTACTTGAGCCATCACTGCTGTGTCTGAGGGTTAAAACTGGCATGTAGCTGGAGTTAGGAGTAGAACTGGATATG